ATATAAAGAAGCAAAGATTGAAAGAAGAGTATGTCAGAAAAAATAACCTTTATAACTTAAGACCTGGTCAAAAAGTTCAAGTCATAGTTGAACCAAGAACATGGGGTAAAGGTAACCAACAAAGAAGACATCTTGATCCTTCTTATTATACAGTTGATTCAGTTGATACAAGTGCATACTTGTTAAGAGCAAAAGATGGAAGTGTTGCAAGATATCCACGTTATCAGATATGGACAAAAATAGAGCATGGATTAAAGCAAGGAGAAACTTTAGATCAAGGAAGACACGGTGCTGTTAAAAGTATTGATGGTCATGAACTTGTCGGTAATGATGTAAAGTATGATGTTACGTTTGAGAACGAAAATACAGGAAAAGTGACAGGTAGAGGTATGCGTGAAGGTAATCCAAACAGGTTGTCACAAATGGAAGTACAGTATTGGAGGAAAAATATTAATGAAGGTCATGTTAAAGATATGCCTAGTTTTCTTGAGAAGTATCGTGGGTTTCGAGTTTAGCTTGTAAGTCCTTTATTTTTGTTTCATACAATGAGATCTTCCTTCTGATCTGTTCATCATTGAGAGGTTGCTTGACTTTACGGAACTGTACACGTCCGTCTTTCATTGTATGTACATAATATCCATCAGGAACCTTACCATCTTTTATATATTCAGTTAACCACTTTTGTTTAGTTGATGCTTTAATGACTTGACTCATTTCTTACTGGATAAATTTTTATGTTTTTTATCTTTTGACGATTTTTTCTTATCCTTATCTTTCTTCTTGTCCTTGTCCTTCTTTGATTTATCCTTCTTCTTGTCCTTGTCCTTCTTGGACTTCTCTGCTGCAGGTGGTGTTGGATTCTGTTTGACTTTAGCACTTGGGTCAGGACCTTGTCTTTGAGACTTAGATATAGATTGTTTAGGAGCTGCTGCTTGTTTAGTTGCTTCAGCTTGTTGTTTAGCTAATTCAGCAGCTTGTTTATCATTCTCTTCTATTTCCTTTGCACCAGTTGCGACTTCATTCTTGAACTTTTGGAGATTCTCAGCAGCATCCATTACCTTATTCGCTCCTTTAAACAATCCATAAAATTTCTGCCATGGTGATACTGAAGGTATATTTCCACCAATTGCTGGAGGAACTGATGCTTCAGGAGTTGGAGATGGTGTTTTGTCTGAATTGAGATGCTTTTCTGCTTCAAGAACTTGTGTAGTATTTTTCTCCAGGTATGCTTTTGCAACCTCCTTAACTTCTGGACGTTCATTATTTACATCCTGTCTTGGTGTTGATGTTTCAGTAGCGTTTTCCTGAGTTACATTAACAACAGGTTGCTCAACTGCTGAAACATTAGCTGCTTCAGTAATGTTATGAGTAGTTGAAACATTTCCTGATATACCTTCTCCTGTTGGAACTCTTGGAGCAATTGTTGTGATGTTCGCCATTGCAGGAGTTGGAGTAGGAGTGTCATCAATCTTTCTGTCAGCTTTCGTCGTTTGCGTTGTAGTATTTGTTGTTTCATTACCATATTTTGATCTTAGTCTGGTAAGCTCTAACTTCATATGTTCTTCAGGATATGCATACTTATTATATTCACCCTTAATATTCTTTTTCCATTCATCGTATTTATCTTCTGCTGATTTCTTAATTGATGCTAGTCCGTTTACAGCCAATTCATCAGTACCGTTATCAGTAGTCTGGTTATATAAAAGATTAGCAGCTGATCTAATTGTGTAATCCGTAAGATTACCAAAACGCTCTATTGTACCTAATGTTGTGTTCTTCAGTTCCTTTCCAATTCCTTGTGCAGCATCTTTGACTAAATCAGCACCCCATGCACCAAATTGTCTCACAGGAGCCGCTATTGATGGTGAAGGAGATGGAGATGGCGATGGAGTTGGTGATGGTGAAGGAGATGGAGATGGTGAAGGAGATGGAGTTGGCGATGGTGTTGCTGCTTTCGCCTTTCTATCAGCTTCTTCTTAGCCTTTCTATCTGCTTCTTCTTTCGCCTTTCTATCTGCTTCTTCCTTAGCCTTACGAGCTTTTTCTTTCTTCTTAAGTTCCTCTAGTTCTTTACGTTCAGCTTCTTCCTTAGCCTTACGAGCTTTTTCTTTCTTCTTAAGCTCCTCTAGTTCTTTACGTTCAGCTTCTTCTTTCGCCTTTCGTTCAGCTTCTTCCTTAGCCTTACGAGCTTTTTCTTTCTTCTTAAGCTCCTCTAGTTCTTTACGTTCAGCTTCTTCTTTCGCCTTTCGTTCAGCTTCTTCCTTAGCCTTACGAGCTTTTTCTTTCTTCTTAAGCTCCTCTAGTTCTTTACGTTCAGCTTCTTCTTTCGCCTTTCGTTCAGCTTCTTCCTTAGCCTTACGAGCTTTTTCTTTCTTCTTAAGCTCCTCTAGTTCTTTACGTTCAGCTTCTTCTTTCGCCTTTCGTTCAGCTTCTTCCTTAGCCTTACGAGCTTTTTCTTCATAATATTTTGTATACTTATCATCAGCCCAATTACCAAGTGATTTGGCACCTGTTAGTATTCCATTTGCGGTTGATGTTGCTGTTCTTCCGAGCCATCCCCCTACCGCTGAAGCACCATTGCCAATAGCACTACCAGCATTTAAAATTCCACGACCAATCCATATCCCTGGTTTTGCCTTTGTATTAAGAGTAAGAAATTCTTCCTTCCTATCTTCAGGTGTAGGATTTGTAACAGTTCTTACAGTATCAACAACAGTGTCAACACTGGTTCCAATAGCACTACCAACAGCTGTTGCACCAGTTAGAATACCATGGGTAACTAAATCAGTAGCTCTTGAGACAACATTATCACTCGAGGCTTTCTCTGCTGGATAGTTTGATCCTTTGTAAGTTCCTGGACCACCTCTATTTGAAGCTTCTCCTTCAACTATTTTCTTCTCTTCTTGTGCTTGTTCTCTGGCAACACTCAATGCACGTTCTTGTCTTTGAATGTTGTCTTTCTTTAACATGTAACCACCAAGTGTCTGTGGTGGTGTGTTTTTATCTAGTGCAGCATCAATTGCAGCCTTTTCTTTTCGCTTTTCTTCGTCTAACCAATTTTGAATAGATTCTGCATCAGTTGGTTCAGCTGGAGTTGGAGACGGTGTTGGAGCTTTAGTTGGTGTTGGAGACGGTGTCGGAGCTTTAGTCGGAGTTGGAGATGGAGTAGGTGCTTTTGTAGGTGTCGGTGATGGAGTTGGAGATGGAGTTGGAGGTACTGTTGGTTCTGGAGTTGGTTCAACAGTCGGTGAAGGTGTTGGCGCCTTTGTGATTCTTGGAGTTGGCTCTGGTGTTCTAATAGGGGAAGCAGTTGGTGTATTAGCTCTTTTAAGAACCTGTGATCTTTCCGCTTGATTTGAATCAGATACTGGGTTAGTTGTACTAGGATGTGATACAGGAGTTATTTTTGGTGTAGGTGTTGGTTTATTTAATGTTATACCATGACTACTCGACATTGGTGGAGGACCTGCGTGAGCAGTTTGGTTCAGAGTTGGCGTTGGAGCTACTGTTGGTTCAGGAGTGGGAGTTGGTGTTGGAGCTACTGTAGGAGTAGGTGTAGGAGTTGGTGTTGGAGTCGACATTTGTTTTAACCTCTCATTATACCAATTCTCCAAATAATAAGCCTCACCCATTAAGTTACTCTGTCTTTGTTTTATAGAAAATTCACCTAACAGTAATTCATCATGAATCATTTTCTGCAGCTTTGTCGTGTTTTCTACTTCCTTTATTAGAACGCTCGATGTATTCGCCAATCCTCTATATTCCTTAATCATCTTATCTAGTTTGTTCATATTTGGTACTTCCTTTTTCTTCTCAGCGTTAATCTCATTAGATCGTTTCTCCAATTCTTCAACTACTTTGTAAAGCTTATTTATCTTGACATGTGATTCCTTTACTTCTCCAGTCCTTGGATCCTTAGGTTCCTTGTATTTAGCTAATTTCGTCTCTATATATCTTCGTTTAGCGTCATATCCAGGATCACTGGTTCGTAAAGGATGCGAAGGTGGACGAAAATAAGGTATGTAGAAATCTGGATCATCATTAATAGAAGAACGTGCTTTAAAGTTACGAACCGCGTCTGTAAAAGGGTCTCTACCACGTGCTGTATATGTTGATGTAATCAAAAAGCCTTCTCTTCTCATTGGGAAATTAATACGACCTTTTTGAACATATTCTTTCTCAAAGTATTGCCTAGCATTGTAATCAAAAGCAAGATCATTATATATATCGCGCAAAAAATCAAATGTATGCTGCTTGAACTTTTGATCGCTAATTATGGTACGAATTATCGGACGTTCATTCTCCCATTTCTTAACTCGTTCATCAATGAGTTTCCTCTCTTGTTCACTCATTTAAACCTCATAAAAATATATTATCTGCGTATAGTGCCACTAATAGCATTAATCCATGGCATGTCTGATAGTACACGTACTGACTGAACTAATGGCTTATGATTGTTCCAAATAGCTCCTCCAATGTATGCGTTATACTTATTGTTGTCAATAGTTTGTTGAGGTTGAACTATAGGTGTTTCAACAGGCTTGTCTCTACTGAAGTCACCACCAAGAGCTTTATTGAATGCTTTAAGATTCTTCGTTAATGCATTATCTTCACCTAATGTAGTTTTTGCAATTCTTTCACCAAGACTACCGATAACACCACCGACTTGACCAACTTGAGGGAAAAGTTTGTTAGCAATGTTAAATCCAGCACCTATTACAAGACCAGGATTTTTTTTCACCATACCCCATCCAGCTTTAACATAATCGCCAAAACCCATTTATTTCTTCTTAAAATAATGTCATCTTTTGTTGCTTAACTTCTTTAAAGTCCGTCTTTCCTGCAACTATATGAACTTCCATATATGAACGAGGTGTTGGTAGCTCTTTGTATTTGTTCCATAACTCTTCCCAATCTTCTGTTGCTCCTGACTGTTCAATCATTGACTGAAAGTCTCTCATAGAATAACCTTGAAAGATAACGAAGTCAGTGCATAGTCTCTTAATGTTTAAACATATATGTCTCCATGTTTGACACATGATGACAACAGTATAGTTATAATGTCTGACCTTAGTGATGAAGTTCGCTAATGGTGAACGTGGGTCATTCAATAAGTCATGACCACCATAATCGTCTAACACTAATAGAGAATTACTGGGATACTTTGTGAAAGGATATTTGTTCAACTTCTTTACAACATATATTGCAATCTTCTTATACTCAAACTTTCCATCAGGTTTCCTTAGTTGATGCTTTGTTAAGATGTGTTCCATCTCCTCTGAAATTTTTTCGAACTTACTTTGAACGAACTCAACAATAGCGTAATACTTTGCTTTCATCTTAACGTTCTTCATTAAATAAGGCATAAGTTCTTTATCATCCTTTTTCAGTACTGGTGCTTTAACTTGACTCATAAATGTCTTCGCTGTTTTATCCATTGTTCCTGATGTTGCTGAGATAACTATTGAGTCATAATATGGAGTATTAGTGAAGCGGTCTGTTATCATTATATGACGAATAACACCATATGTCTTACCTGAACCCATCTTACCGCAGTAGAAATAAACACCATTAGTACAAAATGGATAATCATCAGAAAATGGCATAATGAGTGCATTGTTTAGTTCTTTACTATTCTTACGTGCTCCATCATGAAGAATCTTATCTACTTGATTAATAACTTTCTCCATCTTTTAGTTACATATAAAATGTCTAAATATGATGGATTATACTATGAACATGTTATGAATGATGGCACGATAAGTGGTAATACAGTCTCATATAAATTACCGAGAGACTTCATTGAATATCCTGCGTCAAAAGCTCTTGAGATAAGAAAGATAAGTCTTGAGCATCCAGACTTTGAGTTTCTTGCTATTCCATTAGAAATGACAGATTCATCAAAATCAGTGAAAAAAAGGTTTGACATGAGATATTACATAAAACCCAACATGACTACACAGGAGTTGAATGAAGGTCTTATGGAAAAAATGACTGAGGCAAGTAGAGAATTTGTTGATTGTTACTATGATTCAAATGAAAATAAATTGAATGTATTAAGAAAAGGTACATCACCAATCATAACATTACCTTCATACAGTAGTATAGAAAAAAATGCCTTGAATTATAAATATGACATGTCCCTAGGAGATGTGTTGGATTTCATCACTGCGTTATTAGAAACCACTGAAACAGACACAACATCAAGAAAACCAGAGCTTGTTTGGGAAGATGACCATGGTAGAACATTCACGCAAAAAGTAATTCCATCGAAAGCAAAATTTTTAGACTTATGGGAAAAAAAATATATCTCGCGAATGCATGTATATTATAGTTTTACCATAGCAGATTTCACTGACGAAAATGATAAAGATAAAAAAACATATAAGTACTTTGATGAGCTTTTCATAACTATAGCGAATATCAGGTTTATCCTTGAGCGAAAGGGCAAACCAACATATAAATTTGTCGGTTATCAGATAAGAATAAATCCTCTCCTTGAGCCTTTAGTAACGTTGAGTAATATTGCTCATGATAACAAACAATTTATATGTAATGTGAATGAACAGCTTGTGCCACCAAAATTTTACGATATCACTGGTTATAAAGATGCACTCGTGTTTGAGTTTTATAAGCGCTTTTCATTCAAAAGAGTTGAAGAATCAACTGATGGTCAAAAAAAGGAATATTATGTAAAAGAACCATATGAAATTCCTAAAGACTCTAATATAATGGTTGAACTTATATTAGAGTCTGGTACTCAATCTCAACATAAATAGTTTACGTGACAGAATTTTTTGACACGTAAAGTTTACATTTTAATGGAAGCGAACAACAAAGCTCCTGCTAGTGAATAAAGGTTAGTTTACATATGAACGTTTATTTTTACACATATATGCGTACATATGCGCGCCCGTATGGTGTCAGTTTTCTGTCACTTTTTTCATTGTGTCGGTGACTGTAGCTGTAGGCTACAGGCGACGCACAATGTATACTGTACTTATAAATATATACATATATAAATATATACATATATAAATATATACATATATAAATATATACATATATAAATATATACATATATAAATATATACATATATAAATATATACATATATAAATATATACATATATAAATATATACATATATAAATATATACATATATAAATATATACATATATAAATATATACATATATAAATATATACATATATAAATATATACATATATAAATATATACATATATAAATATATACATATATAAATATATACATATATAAATATATACATATATAAATATATACATATATAAATATATACATATATAAATAACAAAATACAATCAAAAAATAGTGTTTGGAAATTTAAGGTTAAGTGTCACTTTTCTAGTGTCACTTTTCTATCACGCTCATTGGGATTCATATTTCCCAGCAAATTTACCTAAAGAAGAATTTAGGTTTCAAAGCACTAAGCTCGATGCAAGAGAATATAATTATCATGTTTCATCATGTAACTTTGACTCAGTAAATACGCAAGGTTCTGTTCATCTCGAAACAAACAACACTGCAATCAAATTTCTTATTGATACTACACTTTTTAATAACTGCAGCAACACAGAAAATGGTGGTTGTATTTCATATAGCCAAGAAGGCGAATTTATTCAAGATCGAATTTGCAGTTATGCTTCCATAGTTGATGATCAAGACGACTTTGGTGTTTATTGCTTCATTCATGTAACAAACACATCAGAATTTAAAAAATTTATTCATGATAGTTCTTTAACCAAAAGTTTTTATGATTGTTATGCCAGTGGATTCGGAAACATTTTTTTGCAAAATGGCAAAATCCAAATTAAATCAATTAATGTGTCATATGAACATATAATGCGTGATGATTTTTACACAATTTATTTATATTCTGTCAAATCTAATACTTCATTTTCTACCTTTTTTAATGCAACCAGCGGTCATACAGAAAGCATGACATTAGACCATATAAGTGGCACAGAAATATTTGAACTTTTCAATTGCAATATTTTAGAAGTATATTATGGAATGTTTGTGGTGCACAATCTGCAATTGTTCATATTAAAAATTGCAGTATTTTAAGATGTATTCCTTCATACTATTTTCTCGGTTTTAGTTCTGAAATTAAAATAGATGGATGTTATATTGATGTTTCCAACCCACATATGTATGGAGCTAAGTTTACAAACAATGTTACAAGTTATTTTACTCACAATCTTTCCCATTTTTCATCTGCATTTTGTTATGCAGAAAATCCTATTATATATTTGAAACAGCAAAAAAAGAATTACACACTCGATCTTGATATTTCTCTTCTTTTTGGTTCATCAGCCAATATATCTTTAATAAAAAAGTAGTTCTTACTTATTTACATTGAAAAAATTTACTAGAAAAAGATTCTATAAAAACATGAGGAAGCATCAACCTTGATAATGGTAAATTCTGTAAAGGAGATTAACACAACCTCAGAACTTCAGGATGTGGTTCATGATGTTTTGGAGGTGGAACATTTGATGATTATGGTTCAGATGGTAGAAGTTGTTACATTTAGTGGACATGAAGTTTGTGTTTCTGTCATCAAAGAATCAAAAAAATAGATAATATATCTTTCAAAGCCCAAAGAGATATCTCAGTCCACTTTTCAGGATAGAAATTCGAAAGAACAGTTATTCTTGATTGCCTTTTGTTTTATAGAAAACTTCAATGCGATAAAGTTTATCAAGAAATGCATCAATTTGGAAAATAAATATTAAACAATGAAAAATTAAGATTAAACACATTCTTTCTAGTTAAGGTGTGTTTAGTAGATGTTGTTTTGTATTTGTATTTAACACTTCTACTTTATTATTAGAATTTGTTTGATTTTAATTCACAGATAAGATTACACTTATGACTAGAACTGCATTCTAATTGGGTGTGAAGTGTAAAATATGAATGAATTAAAAAAAAGGTAGTGGGGCTTCCAGGCACTTCGTGCCCTCTAGCCCTGAAGATGTTTAGTATAACTTTGTCCGGACAAGTAAGGGTCTAACGTCGCTACAGGAAAAGTTACAGGCGTTCCAAGGAAGTATACTTTGAGAAGCCTTTTCTCCTTATAGAATGAGATAGGACGGTTATTTTACAAAACTGACAACAGTTTGACCGAGTAGTTTTTTGTGCTGAACAAAAAGTGTCATATAAACATCTGTCAAAAACCGCTTTTTAACTTCACTTAAAATGCCACGTAAGCTACGTAAGAATATACGTAAGAGGAAGGGAGCATTGAAACATCCAATAGTAAAACTGACACCACAACAACAGTTGCAACAACAAATGATGAATGACCCCACTATGTTGCAACAAATGTCAAGCAACCCTATGCTTTTAAACCGAGTTATTGGTGCACAGAGTGGAGGTTTAAGAGCGGCACTTTTAGCGAAAATGGCAGGCTATGGTGGAGCTGCAGACGGAACAGCTTATAACCCTCAAAGTCAAATGAATTTGAGTTCACTCAAAAATCAAATAACAGATGTCAAAAAGTCAAACATAGACATACAGAAACAAATAAGTGAAAACGAAAAGAAACTAGAATATGACAGACACACAAAGAAACTCAATGAGTTAAACGTAGAGAAAAAGAAGAAAGAAGAACAACTGAAAGAACTAAGTACAGAGGAATATGCGAAAAAAGTGTCAGAAAAAGCAGCAGAAGTAGCAAAAATGGAACAAGATGTTATAAATTTGAAAAACCATACTACTCAATATAAAGTACTGAAAGATGAAGAAATAAAACAAAAAGCCCTGAAGACATATATGGATAGCGATGAGTATAAAAAAGAAGTTGAAGCAAATGTAAAGGCAGAAAAACTTTTACAGTTGCAAAACCAAACCGTACAGTATGAAAACTTAGCACAAGAAAGTAAAAATAACGACGCAGCCATGCAAAAGGCAATGAAAAGCGCAGAATATATAAAAGCTAATAATGACTGGTTAGATGCCCAAGCCAACGCCAAAGCAGCCCAACTTATAGGGTCAATAAGGACAAAAATACAAGCGGATGAAGACAGTTCAAATGAAGCTTTAATGAATGCTGACTTTAAGAACGCCTTCGAAGCTCTTCATAGTAAGGTGAAACTAGTGAACGACTTCTCATCTGGAAAGAAACTGAAGTCTGAAGGTTTCGACAAAGAGTTAAGAGAAGTAGCACAAAATATGACGAAAATAACAGATGCAGCAACGAGACAGGCAGTTCAAAGTGCCTATGACGCCGTTAGAGCAACTGTTGTGGAAAGTCAAGAAAAAGAGTTACAACAGACCAAAACAGACCTAGTAAATGCTTTCTTAAAAACGAAAAGTCAGGTAGGACATTATGCTGCAGATGGAACATATGTGCCAGCTGGTGGAACTTATATACCAGCTGGTGGAACTTATATACTAGCTAGTGGAACTTATATACCACCAAACCCTCCAAGAGAAGCACCTGCACCAGGACTACCTAAAACATTTACATCGTCACATGGACACAGACACAGGCATGCACCAAAACCAACACAACAACCAACAGTTCAAAACACTGCACCACAACCAACAGTTCAAAACACTGCACCACAACCAACAGTTCAAAACACTGCACCACAACCAACAGTTCAAAACACTGCACCACAACCAACAGTTCAAAACACTGCACAGCAACAACCACAAACAGAGCAAGGACATAAAAGAAGTAGAGAACAAGGAAACCAAGAATTCTTAAAAATGCTTAAGGAAAATTATGGTTACCCAGATACTCTTGACTTTAGTGACAGATATAAAGAAGCTATTAGAAAGTTCAAGGAAGGAAATACTGACCCGAACCTATTTAGCTTTATGGTTCAGCACCAAATGGGATATAATTTCAAACCTGGAAAATACAAGCTCGCTAAGGGATATGATTTAATAGCATATCATCCAAATGACATGGATGAATTTACTCCGAGATATTTGGTGTCAGAGCTAAATGATAATTCAACTCTCTTCATGAAACGCGTAAAAAATAGAGACGGAACGAAAGAAGAAAGGTTTATGAGTCCGGATGACTTAGATAGGGAACTTTTTAAAAACGGTCTCGGAATATATGAAATGCCAGCAGATGAGGTACAAGAAACTCCACAGGAAGAAGTTCAGATACAACCAGACATGGAAGAAATAGTTCAGCAACAACAGCTAGAAGAGCCTGAAGGAAACGAACAAGTCCCTCCTTTGGAAACTAACTTCACAGAACTAGATGAAGATTTGGAACAGCCGAAAAATCTTGACCCTCAACAAGTGTATGCGGGGAATATGGAATCTTTCCAAGAGTCTAAGAAAAATTCGGCTGACATAGTAGAAGAATATCGAAAAATGTTCGCCGACATACAAAAGACTCCAACATCAGATGAAAATATTCAGCATAGAATGGAAGTACTGAAAGAAAGTGTACGCAAATACAACAATCCTTTTTACTTACGACCATATAACGTTCAATCTTTGGCTGAACTCGGTGAAAATAAAAGGTTAAATTTCACCAAAACATATAGAAATGAAACATTGTTTAAAGTTCATTCAGAACCTAACCAATATGGAAACAAACCTACTTTTGTTTCTGCAGACTATGGAACTACAATGAGATGGGGTCATAAAGCTAATCCGGATAGGTGGTTCATAAACTTACAACCACAATTCCAAGAAGTTGTAGACGCAATGGAAGTGAATGGTGAACCAGATATAGCTGGTATTTTCAGCGCGGCTTTAATGCCATTGAAAGATATGAAACATGCAGATATTTTGGACCAGTATGAAATGAACATGGCTGATGGAAATATAACACCTGACGTTCTAGAACATTTATCTCAAAGAACTACACAGAACCATAGAGATGGTATATTTGGTGAAGAGTTTAGAAAGAAAGTTAGGGAGATAGAAGGAAGAGAACCTATTGTACATGACCTTGCAAACGAAAGTTTACAAAATGTCATAAAAACTTACTTTGCAGACAATGAATAGAAGGGATGAATATTTAAGAAAACTCAAATGGACAGTACCAAATGAAATGTTAGTATTGAAAAACATGTTCCTTGACAAAATAAAACCAACTACAGAAATAAATGACGCAAGACTGAAACATTGGGTAAAAGCTTTCCCATTCACAAAAGATATTATTGGTAACATGGAAAGAAAACCAGAATGGCTACAAAAACATATATTTGGAAACGAGCTTATTCCATATGGACAAGCTCTGTTTGAAGAGCTTGAACCGGAAACTCAGGAAAGAGTCATGCAAACAATAAGCGAAGACTCAAATACAAACTATGACAAAATCTTTCTAGGATATAGGTTACCTGAGATGGGCGACCAGAGCCCAAAGGCAAAAAGGACATGGAAAATTTACAACATACTAGGTGAACATGAGGCAAAGATGCAACAACTTGAAGCAGAGGGCAAGTTACATAAAGCGACACCAAAGAAGAAGAGTAGAACAAAGTGAAAGTAGTGAAGAAGTAACTTCATCTAGTGAAAGTAGTGGCAATGAAGGAAAAAGAAGAGTTAAAAACTCAGTCAGGAAGAAAGTAAAGCTTGGTCGAGTGGGTTCTATTATGATATATAAATCCAACTATTCTATTTTACCCATATGAAATGTACGCCGCTCAGAATATAACGCAACAGTTTTGGATGCCATGAACGGAAATGTTTCCGAATGGTATAACGAATGGACAAGCCATTAGAAGGTCAGAAATAGTTCCTGGAACTTACGAATATACAACTGCTGTTTCTTATGGAAACGTAGGTGAGTTTGAGAAGGTTCTTCAACAACAGTAGATATTGCTTGCGACAGGTTTCATATTATTTCTATTGACAACTCATTCTTATACGTGGAACAAGACATTGAAATAAAACCTTCTGCCAAGTTGTCTGACAAGAAAGGTTGCAATGGAATTTTCTATGTCGGATACCAATATGCTCCAGAAGTTTTCATGGGATATAAGATATATTCTAACTCTGACTTAGTTCAAACAGTAACATGGGCAAACTATGAATGGTTCGCTTTGAGAAACTCAGTACAACCACAAGCTAGAGAACAAACAGACCAGTATGCAAATATTGAGAAAATAAGAAGACTTGACCCTAACGTTCCAGGAGTTTATGTTAACCTTTCTGGTTCAGATGGAACTGCTGCCACTAAAGTAAAACTGAAACTTAGAGTTCCTTTGTCATCTTTCCTCATCTTCAGGTTTTTAAGATACTTACCAAACTGGGCAGGAAAAATTTCTATTGAACTTACTCCAAGCAAAAATAACTTAGTCATTGCACCAACACAAGACCCATTCACTATTACAGACGTAAAGGGAACAAATCAAACGTCATTCGCCGAATTTTGCAAAGACAAAGTTGACTTAGACTTTGGTTTCTCAAACTTCAACAATGAAGTAAACTATTATTTCAATGCTGCTGGAACTGCTTGGGACCCAGTTAAGTTTACATGCGAAAAGTTTGAATGCAAGAGAATAGAAAGCAGACTTGCAGTCTATATGTTGGACCCAGATATTTCAAATGCTTTAGCTGCCAAATATATTGCAGTTCCACTTATGTTCCCTATACACCAAATATCTGTCAAAGACTTTGCAGGTGAAGTTGGAAACCAAAGTGCTGACCCAGGTGCAAGAACAGATATTGCTTTAACAACTGCAATGAAACATGCAGATACTATGTTTGTACTGTTCAGACGAACTATAAATGACTATTCTTGTTTCTACAACCCCGGTATTAAATATCATATAAACATAGATGGCAAATATTATCAAGAGAAGAATATTCTACAGTTGAGGATATGAGGTCATACAACTTGACATTAGATGCTATGAACTTTAACAACAACTTCACAACAACCATTAACCCTGAAATGCAAAGTTCTATTATGCCATATGTGAAAGTATGGACTCATACAGGAGGTCAAAAAACTCAATATACAAATGGAGACCGTTCAAACTTTTGGCTTGGCATTCCATTTGCTGACTCAGAAGACTTTATGGGTGGTATTTCAACTGTTGGTACTGTACAAAATACAATATACTGGTGACAGAGACGGTCCAGATGAACTGAGAGCAAAGAAGTTTACAAAACAATAGCACTTTTCACGGAAGATGCTCTTTGAAGATTCGTTCGATGAAACCTGCTGGGGCTCCTCAGATTGGCATAACGACAGCTTCCATCGAGCAGATTTTGGCAGCAGGTCAGTAAGTTGTTCTTGAACTGACTTCTCTCCGTCAAATATTGACAGTACGCCAGTTTGACATAATATTGTAAGATAAACTTACCTTTAGAAATATCTGTAAGTTTTGTTGTTATATTTTTGTCAACGTCAAGAACTTTCACCATTTCAGTTATACCAACTTTCTTTGCTTTATGGAAATATTTTGGTTCAGCAAATATTGCTATTCTATAACATTTACCATTGTTTGTATAAAGAACTATTCTGTCAATGTATTTGTATTGTTTGTGAGTATAAACTTTGTTCTGCTTCAATTCAATAAGATATCCGAATACGTCCATCTTTTTATTCTAAGTAAAATGTCATTTCCGAAAAATAGAAGCGTAAGTGTTTCAAAAGGTTTAATGGCGGTGGCAGATGTGAAGTTAAATTCACCAACTCAAACAAACAGTCAAAGTGTTATTGTCAATGTCAAAGACAGAGATGTTGAAGTGGGGAAACCATACGAAGACGAAGATGGTATAACAATTGTTCCTGTAAAAGAACCAACATATCCTGAAGTTAGCAGAGACTTAAGTTCTGTTGCAGATATTCGAAACGACTACCAACAACTGAAAGACAAACTTCAAACTCAGGAGAAGATTTGTCAAGCTTTAAGTATAATGTTAAACTTGGTCGAACACAACCCTGTAAAAGTGAACTCATATTCATTGCACCTCATGAAGTTTTGAAAGAACTATTGAAACTTTTGACAGAGGCAGACGATATAAACATCAAAGAAATAGAACCCGACATTAGTTGCTGTGGTGTTTCATATAATGTCATTGACAAGATATACGTTATGAAAGGAGGTGAAACGTTGAACTTAAAGTATAGTTTCCCAGACGTCATAAAAATATTTGACGACCACAACATTTCATTAAAATTTATTTGCTAAGTAAAATGTCAAAACTTCTTGAAAGATGTTTGAAGAAAAATAATATAGACTTTATTTCATGTAAAGGACTTTACACACTTTTGAACGATATGAAAGACCCTGTTTTGTTTGTTCGTGTAGACAAAGGAAAGTTCTATGTCTTTACAAAATATTTGAACTTCTTAGACAGAGAACTTCAAGAAACGCCATGTGAAAGTTTAGATGAAGTTCTTCTCCACTTTCAGAAAAACTTTTAAATATATATAAATGGCAGAAGACATAATGTTTATACTATTACGACTAAAAACCCTGGGTCATATAATTCTATAACAACAAACTTACAAAGTCCTCAAGGACGGTATTGTAAACTAACCTTAAACACAATGACGACTAAAGCCTGTTTTGCTCTTTTGACACCAGAAGACTTTATTGTTGTGAATGGTAAAAAATACTCCTTTGAAGATACTTACTCAGATATACCACCAACAGGTTTTGTTGACTTATTTAATACTTTAAGTACGGTGTAACATGTGCTGCAACTAGAGCAGGTTTCATTATGTTTGGATGTCCGACTGAGTTTACTATAAACGATATGAGCTATAATACAAAACTTATTTCTGGTTTTTACTACCAACAGTTTCCTATAACAGGAAAAGGTGTCATACAAGGAATGTCTATTCCATTGACATTAAGCACACCAATCTTATATATTGTTTCAAACTTAGGTTCAAAGTGTTATTCGAATGTCGACAGAAACTATTATGACCAAAAGATACTTATGCGTATAAACAATACTTTCTCTGCTGGTTTGCCTATTGTTCATTCGAATGCAGAATTTTCAACCTTAGTGAACTCAAACACTTTGGCAAGTATAACGTTGACATTAGTTGACGCAAACTTTGTTCCTGTAAAACTTTTATGTCCTATGTATTTGT